GCAGTGAGCCAAAACTGTTTGCAAAATACTAGTAGAAAGGCTTTTTGTGCTTCAACCTTGTTTAAGTGGGTATTTACAATATTAATAATAATCAGTATTATTATTATTATTATTATTATTATTATTATTATTATTATTATTTGCTGAATGGCAAGAAAATACAAAATATTTACAACATATGAAATTGATAAACGCCCCCCCCCCCCCCATACATATTTACAAGGTAACAATGTAGCTCAAGTGGGTCTGATCATAGTGTAAGAGCATAATAATAATAATATACATTTATTGTGAGGTAATTACATGTACTAAAATGTTTGAAATAGTATGAAATTTCTAAACGAATACTTTGGACATGTAAAGGGTCATAGGTTAAAGGTATTCTGATCATTCCTCTCTAAACCCACATCTCTGCAACTTTCACGGGACCAGTCACTAATGTGGGGATTGTCGATAATTCACCTCTACAGATCACAGCTTAGTCTATATATAACAATAAGGAACTACATTTCACACCTCAGCTGACAACTACAAATTGTATAGAATATTCCTCATCCTGTCAAATGATTTGTTCATGCTTGGCGTAATCCAGTCACTATGGCTTATCTTTCGAGAAGAAAGGGTGCCGGTACTCACCACAAAGTGCCTATAAAAGGTGCCGGTACTCACCACAAAGTGCCTATAAAAGGTGCCGGTACTCACCACAAAGTGCCTATAAAAGGTGCCGGTACTCACCACAAAGTGTCTATAAAAGGTGCCGGTACTCACCACAAAGTGTCTATAAAAGGTGCCGGTACTCACCACAAAGTGTCTATAAAAAGTGTCGGTACTCAGCACAAAGTGTCTATAAAAGGTGTCGGTACTCAGCACAAAGTGTCTATAAAAGGTGCTGGTACTCACCACAAAGTGTCTATAAAAAGTGTCGGTACTCAGCACAAAGTGTCTATAAGAGGTGTCGGTACTCAGCACAAAGTGCCTATAAAAAGTGCCGCACTCAGCACAAAGTGTCTATAAAAGGTGCCGGTACTCCCCACAAAGTGTCTATAAAAGGTGTCGGTACTCACCACAAAGTGTCTATAAAAGGTGTCGGTACTCAGCACAAAGTGTCCCGTGTCACAAATCTACCCGTGAACACGCCATTGTTGAGGAGCCAGTTGTAGCACCATATACAAACGATTGTTTCGTGAACTGCGGGGAAAAGCACGCTTGGTGTTCTTTTCAGAGCACTTGAACAAGCCTTGCCGGCTCTGCAGGGATCGAGCTTTCGACATCAGCCTGATCAGCACCAGTCACTGCCTCATCAACTATGGCCCGAGGTAAAAATAGCCAGAAGAAGCCACAGCCAGACTGCGTCACCCGTTTAAAGCCAGCGAACGACAAAACCTCACCCAGCGAGGCACCGACCTCTCCAGAGAAGACGGAGCCGACACCGATAGACGACCCAGTTGAGACGCAGGGTACTTCAACCCAGGAATCAGCAGAAGAGACCCAGACTCTACCAATCCTAGAAGCGACTCCAGCCGAGGCGCAGACACCTATCGAGAAGACGCCAGTTACTCAGACCACCTCAGATGTGACGCAGAGAGGGAGAACTAGTCAGCCACAGACGAAGCAGCAGAACGGCACCTACACACCCGAGATTACCCAGTGTTCACGCTGTAACGAGGCGTGGCATACCGCCGCAACCTGCCGCAGCAGCCCATTGTGCCGTTACTGTGCCGGTCCGCACAACTTCAAGGAGTGAAGCCTAGCAAAGAAGGATACTGATTTTAAAAAAAACCTAACTCAAACAGAAGGTGCTCAAATTGTTCAGGCCCCCACAGCGCGAGGTACCAGGGATGCCCATACCTCAAGGACTGCAGGAGATCACGGACAGCCACCACCACCAGACACTACTCCCGCCCAGGGGAAAGACAGAGCTACCATGTTTCCAGACCGCGAGATAACACAGAAGCGAACAAAGTCCAGGATGAGATCTCTGCCCTAAAAAGAGAGATCGAGGCCCTACGGGAGGAAAACGCTACCATCAAAACTAAGCAAGATCGTGACAGAGGCGAAAACATCGAGATAAGAAGACTGCTGCAGGAATCCTTCGAAACCCAGAAACGGCATGAGATCGAACTAGCAGACATGGGGAAATTCAAGTGCGACCTCCTTGCAGTCCTGACCGATCTCAAGAAACAAAAAGAAGAAAGCGCTGAGACCAATTTGTACGAAGCAGCAAATATGAAGAAGACACTCGCAGAACTAGAAGCGAAGCTATCCAAAGTCAGCAAAGCAAACGAACAATTGGAAAAGGACCTAACAGCCACAAATATAGTTATTGAAGCTAAAGAGGAGGCGAGGAAGAAAGCGGCCAGAAGAAAGCAAATACAAGCGGCAAAAAACCAGGAAAGTGAACCCAAGAATCAGGGAGAACGAGATCTAACAAAAACCGATGAAGAGAATGTAGAAGTTGCAGAGGAAAAAGAAGTCAGCGAGGCCAGCATCCAAGCAATGCTCAAAAAATTCAACAAAGTAATGCATCCACATGAAATCGCGTTTGTCCAGGGCAAATACAGCGTACAGTTCTGCATGGAGCAAATTGCGAAAAAGGGTCATCTACCAGTCGGACCACTTATTCCCAGACGCAGACGATCCAGCCCGACCGAGGCAGTACGAAGCCATCAGCCAACCAGAACTGACCAAGCCGCCATGACACCTGCCAAACCCAGCTCACCGGACCGGAAAACTCACCAGCCAGGCATGATTGCTTGAACAGCCAGATACATTCCCCCCCCCCCCCCCCCCACCTCCTCACAGGCCGCGCCAGGCATACTCTACTAGTCCTGAGAATGTTCCACTCCCAAATCAAGCCATAGTGCAGAACAGCAAAGAAACCCACAAGAAGACGTAAGACATCGTCGCACTGAAAGAACCAAACTAAATACAGCAAAGAAACCAGGACGCAATTAAAACCAAGCCCCAGAGGCAGGTTGAAGCCGTCCGAAGTTTTTATTTTTTTTTTAATTTTCAATCGTTCGCACAAAGTGTCTATAAAAAGTGCCGGTCGGAGAGAGACCAAAATGCCGTTACTAAACCCAGGAGCTCACTACTTTTATAGAGGCTAAATGGCGCAATCCTTGTAGTAGACAGATCGTATGTTGCCTATGTGTTTTTTTAACACCTCGATTAAATATGAAAAATAGACACATATAAGGAACTGGCCGGTAAGCCTTACTAATGTCCAGCCACACAGCGACCAGTGCCTTGTTGGAGAAAGAGTTAGTTAAATATATGCCGGCTAGTTAGACGGTTGCTAACTTATGGTTGTGAGAGTTGGAAATCATCAGTATCAATCGATAAGAAACTAGTCGCTTTCGAGAATAGATGCCTCCGAAAGCTATTGAATGTTCACTGGTCGGACTTTAGGTCCAATACATCTATAAGACAGGAAACAAAACAAAAATATGTGTCTGATTTTATTAGAAAGCGTCGCTGGAATTACATCGGTCACGTACTCAGAATGGACATACAGAGACTTCCCCACCAAGCCTTCATATGGTCACCAGAGGGTAAAAGAAAACAGGGAAGACCAAAAGAAACTCTCCGTAGAACCATCACAAGGGAGAGCTCAACCATAGGTCTCAGTCGCACTCAAGACCTACATCAAGTGGCAAAGAACCGACAGACGTGGAAAGCTATGACCTCTGCCCTATGCGCCATCTTTGGCACAAGAGGAATAACTAACTAACTAACTAAGTTAGACGGTAACTGATCTGCTTAGTTCACTCGTTTGTTGGGTGGTTGGTTAGTGTATCGGTCTGTTGGCTGTATGAATACTGCGTCACTGGTTGTTAGTTTAAAAACTGGTTGAATGTTTGGATAGTGTGACAGGTGTCTGAATGATGTTTCAGCTGGGTCGTTTGTTGCTGGATGGGTTCTTTGGCTGATTACTGGCAGCAGCTGGTAGCAGCAGCTGCGTCGTGGATGCAATAAAAAGCTGACTCTGATATAGAGGTAGGGATGAAAAGTCTCCATGGTCGTCCCCTGCCACTTCCTTTTCAACTAACTTCTTCTTCTTCTTCAGTAAATACCAGTGCACAGGTCTTGTGGCTCGTCCACTTCCGGAATTTGGTCTTATTCCAGAACCTGAGTTTTGCTTGCACGTACCTTTTACAGATCTGGTTTATTCGTTAGCTGACTGTTGGCTCCTCGCCTCTCAGGCTAATGCACTCCGACTTCGAAAGAAACACCAGTAATTAGTCGCCTTTTACGACATGCTTGTCAAGGACAGTGGGTCTATTCTTGTTTTCCCAAAACGGGGCTTGGAATCCACACAGGGATTTGTATCTAATGAATCTAATGTCACTAGAGATGTGTGTAGCCCACTGGTATAAACAGAAATTACTTTAAGAGGTATTTAAACACAGTCAAGACTGAACTTTACGGCTGCTCGAGATGACAAAATTTTAATTAATGAGCGGCCGAAGAGTCACAGACCAGCTTGTATTAGCTACAACAAAATTATGTTTCAAAATTGGGCACAATTCGGATCTACAGACTTCCGGACGTTCGTCAACTTTAATATGTCGGTTGTTGCAATTAAAATGACGTTTGGCAATATTCACTTGCCACGTTGTAATTTTTATGTCATTACTCCATGGGGGAAATTCAACTTTCTAATAATTAAACAGAGGGAAGGTGTTAGTTTGTGTCATTTTAGGATATCATTACAGATCATTAGTTTGACTCTTTGGAGAAAAATCTGTTGGAGTCTTCTTAGAGGTAAACGAGCTCTCCCTCAAGACAACATATGCGCTAATCGCATGAACATATTACTTTACGTGATATTTAAACACACATATAGAGACCGACTCACATACATATAAAAACACAAAAAACAAAACCATATGTTTGTAGACTTCATAGATGAAGAAAAAAAAAAGAGGCCAAAATTGTCTGTTCTGTTGTAGTCTATGTTGACAAGTTCTTTTACTCTTCACCAGGACTTGACTTACCTATCAACGGTATGGTGACTGCAGCCTTGGGTGTGGAGTCAGCCAATAGTAACAGCAACACGAAAAATGCCAGAAAGATGTTCATGCCTACGAAGGATAACCAAACCAAACTATTATAAATCAGCAGCAAAATATGCCAGCCAAGCCGACAAAACATAGCTAGTCTGCCTTTTCTTCTACCTTCTATTCGCAAGCAGATCATAGGCCCTCAACCAACTCACGCCAGGTTGTTCTATCCTTCGCTACTGCATGCATCTCTTCTTATGTCCTGTCCGTATGGGCGTGTGTTTGTTGTTGTTTTTGTCTGCCTGTATTTCTATGCCCCTGTGGTTTCCAGCGCAAAAAACGTTCTATTTATATTGTTTTCAGGTTTTCCCAGCAAATGTTCTAACCAATGCTAGTGTATTTTCTTCAAGTTCCACTGGAACTTTCCTGCTAAACGTCCAAAGTTTTAACATTCCAGGTACCAATTCTGGAGATTTCCCTACTATTAGAGTCAACATCATTATCATTATTGTCAGGATAAACATCATCATTGTGACCAACATGATCATCACCATCGTCGACAACAATTACAACAATAAAATTAACAACAACAACAACAAAGATGTTAAACACACAGGTAATCTCTCACCCAGAGTAAGCTTGGCAGGAGACTCTGGAGGCACCCAGAAGATGACCATGGTCAGCAGTGACAATAAAGCACAAGGCATGATGAGAATCAGCGTGTAGAAGGCAACACGGCGTCTGAGGCGCAGCACAAACTTCAGGTCTGGATAAGGCTCCGGGCAACAGGTGTACTTCTTGATGTTTCGATGACCTGGAGCATCGACACAAAAATCGAGTCAGCACATGGAGAAGAGAGCTGGATAATGAAGCTAGAAAGATGGGGAGGACATGGGGAGAGCTCCATGCAATGGCGAAGGATAGAACGACTTGGCGTGAGTTGGTTGAGGGCCTATGCTCCATTGGGGGATAGAAAGGCGGAAGAAGAAGACATCGACAGCTGATGTTGACCATATCATCATTGGGGAAAGTGGGAAAAGGGGTATGTCTTTCCGTCTTTTGGTCTTTCTAGATGATAACGTTGTATTGTGTTATACAGAAGAGTTGGAACTACTGGCTATTTGCAGTGGGCCATTAAGGCAAGGGATGAAGTTCATGCTCCCCGTAGCACACAGCTTAGGCAGTATAGTAGAGTTTATGTGTTGTTCATGCCGCACGATTCTTTACATGGACTGCCTCGTGTAACTCTACACGAAAGATAACATCAGTACATTTGGAACACAGCATGCTGCAGAAGCTAACAGACCAGAAGAGCAGAACTTTGTCCACCTGTGGGAGCTTTCCTCCTAGACCAGCTGCCAACCAAGCCCAAGAGCACGGTCAGCACAACCTTAACATGTATTCACGTTGCATGTCCTCTTCCTCTCCACAACATTTGTGAAGGGTTTACTGATCTGTCCTCTTCTTGAACACAACACCTGTGAAGGGTTTACTGATCTATCCTCTTCTTGTACACAACATTTGTGAAGGGTTTACTGATCTGTCCTCTTTTTGTACACAACACCTGTGAAGGGTTTACTGATCTGTCCTCTTCTTGTACACAACACCTGTGAAGGGTTTACTGATCTGTCCTCTTCTTGTACACAAAACCTGTGAAGGGTTTACTGATCTATCCTCTTCTTGTACACAACACCTGTGAAGGGTTTACTGATCTATCCTCTTCTTGAACACAACATTTGTGAAGGGTTTACTGATCTATCCTCTTCTTGAACACAACATTTGTGAAGGGTTTACTGATCTATCCTCTTCTTGTACACAACACCTGTGAAGGGTTTACTGATCTGTCCTCTTCTTGTACACAACATTTGTGAAGGTTTTACTGATCTGTCCTCTTCTTGAACACAACATTTGTGAAGGGTTTACTGATCTATCCTCTTCTTGTACATAACATTTGTGAAGGGTTTACTGATCTATCCTCTTCTTGTACATAACATTTGTGAAGGGTTTACTGATCTATCCTCTTCTTGTACATAACATTTGTGAAGGGTTTACTGATCTATCCTCTTCTTGTACACAACATTTGTGAAGGGTTTACTGATCTGTCCTCTTCTTGTACATAACATTTGTGAAGGGTTTACTGATCTGTCCTCTTCTTGTACACAACATTTGTGAAGGGTTTACTGATCTATCCTCTTCTTGTACATAACATTTGTGAAGGGTTTACTGATCTATCCTCTTCTTGTACACAACATTTGTGAAGGGTTTACTGATCTGTCCTCTTCTTGTACACAACATTTGTGAAGGGTTTACTGATCTATCCTCTTCTTGTACACAACATTTGTGAAGGGTTTACTGATATATCCTCTTCTTGAACACAACACCTGTGAAGGGTTCACTGATCTATCCTCTTCCTGTACACAACATTTGTGAGGGTTTACTGATCTGTCCTCTTCTTGTACACAACATTTGTGAAGGGTTTACTGATCTGTCCTCTTCTTGAACACAACATTTGTGAAGGGTTTACTGATCTGTCCTCTTCTTGAACACAACATTTGTGAAGGGTTTACTGATCTGTCCTCTTCTTGAACACAACATTTGTGAAGGGTTTACTGATCTGTCCTCTTCTTGAACACAACATTTGTGAAGGGTTTACTGATCTGTCCTCTTCTTGTACACATCATTTGTGAAGGGTTTACTGATCTATCCTCTTCTTGTACACATCATTTGTGAAGGGTTTACTGATCTATCCTCTTCTTGTACACATCATTTGTAAAGGGTTTACTGATCTGTCCTCTTCTTGTACACATCATTTGTGAAGGGTTTACTGATCTATCCTCTTCTTGAACACAACACCTGTGAAGGGTTTACTGATCTATCCTCTTCTTGTACACAACATTTGTGAAGGGTTTACTGATCTGTCCTCTTCCTGTACACAACATTTGTGAAGGGTTTACTGATCTGTCCTCTTCTTGTACACAACATTTGTGAAGGGTTTACTGATCTATCCTCTTCTTGTACACATCATTTGTAAAGGGTTTACTGATCTGTCCTCTTCTTGTACACATCATTTGTGAAGGGTTTACTGATCTATCCTCTTCTTGAACACAACACCTGTGAAGGGTTTACTGATCTATCCTCTTCTTGTACACAACATTTGTGAAGGGTTTACTGATCTGTCCTCTTCCTGTACACAACATTTGTGAAGGGTTTACTGATCTGTCCTCTTCTTGTACACAACATTTGTGAAGGGTTTACTGATCTATCCTCTTCCTCTCCACATTTGTGAAGGGTTTACTGATCTGTTCAATTTGGGTCTGGTATCTTTTCTTGATGTTTCAATGGTAAGGGAACAGCTGTTTAATTGCTTGCTTTCTTAGATGGAAAGCATCTGCTTAGTAACAAAACTACATCACATGGTAAGTTTCTTTGCGTTGAGTTGAGCTGAGGACTGACTGACATCACAGCAGTTAGGAAATTATCATAAGCACTGTCCTCGCCTTCAGCAGCCAGTGCAGAGTTCCAGTTCTGATGGTTGCAGTAGCAGTCTGACTGTTTGTTTGTGTTTATTTTCCCTTAAATGTTGAGTGTCTCCAGATCCCCGCTGCACCATATTTTTTTCCAGATCTTGTTTATCTGTTTGTGCCTCCGCACTGTTCACTCCCTCCCAAAAGGTCTTGGCAACAGGGCTGTTGAACTAGTCAGTCAGGCTCCCTGTTTGTTTACTAACAAACCAGGGGCTGCGTGGTCTCGAGGCATGGTGTCCGCCTCGAGTGCAAGAGGTTGCGGGTTCAATACCCGGAAAGAGCTGGGATTTTTTCATGTGAACTTAGACTTCTAGTAATTCTCCTGGTCTCTGGGTAGTGAGATCGGACGCCAGTGTACATTGTTGCGCACGTAAAAAAAAATCCTTTGGCATTTGGAAATCGAAAAGAGTAACCTAACGGCGCTGCCCAGGCAAAATTTGGAGTTAAAAATCTACTCAAAGTATGTCAGGATCCTCGCCGGGGCTACAAAGCCTGTGCACCGTGCTGAGCTTCTTCGGACTCAGTCTAGAGTTAGAAGAAAAAAAGGAGCACGTATGGGTTACTACCCGTGTGCCATGATATTGATCCGTTATTCAAAACCTCAAAAACTTTACTAACAAAACTGCATAATCTGGAGAAAATATCTCAAGAACGCTAGCTGCCAGGGACTTTTGAAGCGATTCTTGCCACTCTGCCCAGAGCATACTAACTTTGTAAAGATATTTCCTAAGTCGGATACACGTCACATGTGTGTGCAGCTGGTTGTCAGGCCAGCAGAATGGTGCAATGTCTGCCGTCACCTATGTTCTCATACTAGATTTGATTATGTGTTGTGTGTTTCTACATTACGTACTTGTGCTGGGTGCTCTGAATGTGGTCCATTAGCCAGTGGGGCTTTATTTGTTGACAAAATTATCCCCACGCCCGTGTGTCACCGGGGCCCTCAAGTGAAACAAAGAACAAAAGCACTGCATCCTACCAGGTATGTCGTAAAAGGCGACTAAAGGCAGAGTTTTGACTTGAGATTGGCTACTTCATCCCGTAAAAACATTAGCCACAAAAACCAAGCAACTACTGACCAATAAACACATGAAGACGGCAACTAAAGAGTGAAGTTAAAAAAGGGGGAAAAACATCAGCGAAGGATAGAACTACTTAGCGTGAGTTGCATGGGAGCCTATACTCCATTAGGGGTTAGAAAGGCAGAAGAAGAAACCACTAGTCTACGGAAGTGAAATAAACATGGACGCAATTAGTTGTCAAAACACAGACCGCTGTAGGCGTCTTGACTTTTGAAAAGATGAAATATTTTATAACAAGTATCATTTCATTGGTCTGTGGTCGATGGCGACACACCAGTGGTCATATAGGTTTCTCAAAATATCAGCAACGTGACCGTTTTACACACACACACACACACACACACACATGTATACACACACATATAGTGGTGATAACGATACGACTGAGTAGTGGATATGAGTACAAAGAGGATGAAGATGACGATGTTGATCATGATGATGAAGATGAGGAATACTGTTATGATGTTGAAGACCGTAGTAGTAAATGTAGTTGTGGTGGAAAGTCAAGTAAAGAACTTACACGAATTACTTAACACGTAAAGGACGTATAGGACTAAGCCTATATTTTGTCAACAAGTTGCTACTTGGTAGGTGATTGAGTCAACATCATGCCGGCCGCCTTGTCTTCCGGCCGCCTTGTCTTCCGGTTGCCTTGTCTTCCGGCCGACTTTTCTTTATATGACTACTTTCCTAGACTCTACCTGTTACCAATGTAAGCCTGGGTCGACGTGGGAACCAAGCTCACTTTTTGTTAAAATTTTCGGCTCTGTTGAGAATCGAATCCACGACCTTCAGTGTTGCTGGCGAGCGTGTAGCCACTGCACCACGCTGGCTACCAGTGTGGTCTTGATGAACATTATAATGATAAAGAAAAAACATCTGGGTAAAGATATAGAAGTACTTGCTATAAATATCGACTATGAAACAGGGAAGATATATACCGACGACGATTTTAAGGAATTTACACTGTAATAATGAAATGAGGAATATAGACAGCACAGGAGATGGAGATAATAATGATACGTTCGTTCTCGTTCGTCCGTCACATGTGATGAGGACCACTCTTTCCTTCATCCGTCATGAAGCTGCAGCTGAAAGTTCGTGAGTCCGGGGCTGACTTATAAGTCCAATACGTGCCCGGAAGAGTCTAGGTCAATGAGGGCCCGGCACAGTCTCTGTAAAAGGGCCTGTTTGGTGGCTTTTTCTGGCTTTGTTCTAGGTCATAATGACAAACATAAGAGAATAGACGTACAAATGGTTTTTAAAAAATATTGTGAAAATACAAAATATAACATAAGGAATATAAGTGACGATGATAACAGAGAATGCAGATAACTGAAATAACATATGCAAATATATATATATATATATATATATATATATATATATATATATATATATATATATATATATATATATATATAAGGCAGTAATGATGAAATAAGAATAGAGACAACGATGGCGGAAAAGGTATATTGATAATCAAAATGATATATTTATCTGAGAAAGGTATTAGACGAAGTTCATAAACAGGTGCTCTCACTGTTTATGCCTGTCCTCGACACGCCGATGAAGACGACGATCAAGATGAGTCAAGGAATGAAGATCGACAAAGATGAGTAACTTTAGCGGGGGTCGGGACATGATCAGTTACCTGAGTTCTCTATGATCTCCCACTCGTGGTTCTTGATGTAGGATCCCATCTCGAACATCTTCCGATCTGGGGATTGAAGCAGCAATATCTCACGATTAATGATGAATTGCTGATCTCGTCAACTATTTGATTATGATAATGATGATGCTGCTGCTGCTGCTGATGATGATGATGATGATGATGACAGAGAGAGAGAGAGAGAGATAATAAATGAGGGGAAAAGATAGATATATATATAGAGAGTTGCGGGGGTGGAGGGGGAGGGGGAACAGAGGTAGAGAGAGCAAGAAAAAGGGACAGATGCAGAGTGAGAGAGAGAGAGAGAGAGACAGAGAGAGAGAGAGAGAGAGAGAGAGAGAAGATAAAGAATGGGCCAGGCAAGGTAAAAGGAGGATATTTGTGGGAAAGAGAAAAAGTAGCGATGAAGACTGGATGCGAAGATCTAGAGCGAGACAGGAAGGAGAGAGAGTAAAAGAAAGAGAGATATGAAACTGAATGATAGAGAGAGAGGAACATGTAAATTAAGAGAGAGAGAGAGATATGGAGAGAGAGAGAGAGAGAGAGAGAGGGGCGAGGGGGGGGGGTGGAGGCGATATCAAATGTCCTTGTAGGGCGGATTCAACTATGTGATACTAAATCGGATGGATAGTTAGAGAGGGAGAGAGAGAGGGCGGGCGAGAGATAGAGAGTAAGACATAGCTAGAGAGAGACAGAGCGAGATACGGAGTGAATGGGAGAGGAGATGGAGATAGACAGGAAAAATATAGACATAATGATACAAGTGTAGAACTAACAAGTAGGAGGAAATCACATAAAGCGAGGGACAGAACTGTAAACCACAAAAGAGAGAGTGAAAACAAAATGAGACAGCGAGATCGACAAACAGTCAGACATACAAACGAGATAAACAGACTTCCGAATAATTGTGACTGATTATTGCTGGCCTCAAGAGTAAAGTATGCAGAGCATCTGTAAGCAACCACGACGTATCTGCAGCTGAAAAGCGATATTACAGAGGCAGTCCATTTGAACGATCTGACTAGAGTATAAGAAACCGAACGCAAAGAAGAAGCAGAAGAAATGGCCCCCAAAAAAAGTTATAATATTACCTGATTTAAAGTGGATATCAAGTTGAAATCCATTGTACGTCCAGGATCCGAACTTGAGAATGCAGATCTGCTCATCCAGGGGGAAGTACAGGGTGTCAAAGGCACACGAACTTCTGAGGATGGCTTGGGGCATCCACAGAACATGGCCGTCCGATTCCACGACAACCAGAGCGTTGCGCTGCTCCCTCAGTCTGTCGTCGGCACTGGAATAGCACAGCAGAACAGTTAATGAGCGTGTCAAATGTGTTTACAATCTAGAACAAACTTTGAAGGATACATCGCTCTGCTATTGGCGGTCGCATAGCAAGATGTGTCCAATACCTTTGTCGCATGACAACCCAACACCCCCTGGTCTCAGATTTGCCCACTTCCTGAACACCTCTATGTAAATGAGCTAATTTCAAATCTTGGACTTTCCTAAAAGAAGTAAAAAGTTTTTTTTTTTTTGTACATTTGTGTCGAGATGGGATAAGTACTCATTTCGTTCCTAAATCAATTGGGAGTGAGTTATGTTATAAACTAACTCACAGGTAAATGATTTCTAATGATTTCCCCCATCCGCCAAATTACTGCCTGTTCGCGGAAGGAACTGAACCATCCCGCTTCTAACCTGGGCTAGTCCCAAATTCAAATCCTCATTCTTGGCTCAATCTCCAGAACATACAGACTAGTGTGCCCTTGTCTTGAAAATCGTCAACACCACCTTTGAAGGTATCCAATTCACTCGGGAACTTCCACTGAGCATGGGATGTGTGTTGACCTCTCTGGAGTAGTGCCAGAATCACCAAGCATGATGTTTTAATGTCTGAAAACTATATGTTTCAGCAGTACACAACAACACCTGCCTCGAGACAGTACAGCAGTACTGAAGCAGGTCCTAACCCAGTCTTGGCATTGAAGCAACCAAATTGTCAATGATCTGCTCTTATGCCAGGCCCAACCAGAGGGTGCAGTTTGGTATAACATGATTAACATTGAGAATAAGTAAGGGAACCTTTACCTATTGTGGACATTGACTTGTTTAAAAAAAATTCATTCCGCACGCAGAAGTGTTGATATTTATCAAGTGGAACATTGTACAACGAAACTGATGCCTAACTCATTATTCCGCGCTTCCCGAAGAAGTCCGGCCTATGATTTGTGGAGAGGATCAAGTCCATCTCAGATAAGTATCGAGGGATACTGCAGCCACCCAAGACACTAGTGCCCACTTTTACTCTTGTCACAACAAGATATTGCAGTGATGAGCCGTGAAGTGTTGTAGGCAGCGTTCAGTTCTGAGTTAATTGGTTTCGTTTATTTGTCCTCTGCTTTCATTCACTTTTTATAGTCTTTACCTTTGTTGTACTTATTACATTATGTATTATTATTCTGGATTCAGATATATCAGTGTCCAATCTTTACCAGTTCTTTTAGATTGTTTGTGTGATTGTGGCGTTGTTTGGTCAGATTCTTTACTGTGTTATATTTTGACTATGATATGTTTGCTATCTAGTCTGGGGGCTTCTAAGTGGTGAGGAGGTCAGGTTAAGTTATGCCCAGGTATACTTATTATTGCCGTGGGAATCATAATTTAAGTGAAGCGATGTTGGTTGGTCGTTATGGAGTACCTTCTAGACCAATGCGAGCCACCATCAATTAAGTCACTTTAGAGTGTCTTTGTTTACCAGGGAAAACCCTGAGAGACATGCGACAGGCGGGTCATGTGACAGCCTTCTCCAGATAGGTCCATGGGGCTGACGTCATCAGCTTGATGTGACGTCACCACCCTGGGCTAACGATGTGTTCCGTTTGCACTCTGACAGTGTGTTCCCTGCTGTCCCCTAAGTACTCCCACACATAATTATAGGAATAAGACAATAGACCATGTACACACACACACACACACACACACACACACACACACACACAGATGGTAGCACTTTGAAAGCAATGTTTACTTTTGAACAGCCCTCACCACAGACTTAACCTATTTCATTGTTAAATAATTTGCAATTTATGTTAGAATGTGTTGGCTGTTTGAGTGATGCATTGGCAATTCATGTTAAAATCGGTTGGGTATGTCTGAGAGATGCATCTGCAATTTCAAATCTGCTAGCAGTGTATGACATATTGTTTGGCAATTTATGTTAACATCTGCCGGCTGTGTATAAGAGCTGCATTGGCAGTTTGTGTTAACATCTGTTAGCAACGAATGTGGGAGGTTTATTAAGAAATTTATGTTAAAATGCGTTGGCCTTGTATGAGAGATTTATAGGCAAGTTATGTAAAAATCTGTTGGCAGTGAATATTAGAGGTTTACTGGCAGTTTATTTTAAAATGTGTTGGTGGTTTCTGCTGGGGATTTACTGACAGTTTATGTTAAAATTATCTGGCAGTTTACACTAGAAATTATTAGGCAAGTTATGTTGAAATGAGCTGGCGATGTATTCAAGAAATAATTATGTGTTAATAGTTTCTTGAAGAAATATTGTAGCAGTTCCTCTAAGAAAGATGTTGGCATGTTCTTTTTATAAATGTGTTAACATTTCCTTTTACTCTCTTTTTAGAAATAAGTCAATGGTTCGCATTAAAAAAGTGTTTGTAGTTCCTCTTTAAAATATATAACTAACCACTCTTCGAAATAAGTAAAAGCCAAAAGTCTAAATTGACAAAAAACAGAGACTTTCCGCCGGAATTCACAACCGGTGAAGAAGAAGAAGAAGAAGAAGAAGAAGAAGAAGAAGAAGAAGAAGAAGAAGAAGAAGAAGAAGAAGAAGAAGAAGAAGAAGAAGAAGAAGAAGAAGAAGAAGAAGAAGAAGAAGAAGAAGAAGAAGAAGAAGAAGAAGAAGAAGAAGAAGAAGAAAAAAGAAGAAGAAAAAGAAGAAGAAGAAGAAGAAGAAGAAGAAGAAGAAGAAGAAGAAGAAGAAGAAGAAGAAGAAGAAGAAGAAGAAGAAGAAGAATAAGAAGAAGAAGATGATGATGATGATGATGATGATAAAGAAAAAAGAAGAAGAAGAAGAAGAAGAAGAAGAAGAAGAAGAAGAAGAAGAAGAAGAAGAAGAAGAAGAAGAAGAAGAAGAAGAAGAAGAAGAAGAAGAAGAAGAAGAAGAAGACGAAGAAGAAAGAGAAAAAGAAGAAGAAGAAGAAGAAGAAGAAGAAGAGGAGTAAGAAGAAGAAGAAGAAGAAGGGGAAAAAAGAAGAAGAAGAAGAAGAAGAAGAAGAAGAAGAAGAAGAAGAAGAAGAAGAAGAAGAAGAAGAAGAATAAGAAGAAGAAGAAGAAGAAGAAGAAGAAGAAGAAGAAGAAGAAGAAGAAGAAGAAGAAGAAGAAGAAGAAGAAGAAGAAGAAGAAGAAGAAGAAGAAGAAGAAGAAGAAGAAGAAGAAGAAGAAGAAGAAGAAGAAGAAGAAGAAGAAGAAGAAGAAGAAGAAGAAGAAGAAGAAGAAGAAGAAGAAGAAGAAGAAGAAAGAAGAAGAAGAAGAAGAAGAAGAAGAAGAAGAAGAAGAAGAAGAGAAGAAGAAGAAGAAGAAGAAGAAGAAGAAGAAGAAGAAGAAGAAGAAGAAAGAAGAAGAAGAAGAAAAAGAAGAAGAAGAAGAAGAAGAAGAAGAAGAAGAAGAAGAAGAAGAAGAAGAAGAAGAAGAAGAAGAAGAAGAAGAAGAAGAAGAAGAAGAAGAAGAAGAAGAAGATGATGATGATGATGATGATGATGATGATGATGATAAAGAAAAAAAAAAGAAGAAGAGAAGAAGAAGAAGAAGAAGAAGAAGAAGAAGAAGAAGAAGAAGAAGAAGAAGAAGAAGAAGAAGAAGAAGAAGAAGAAGAAGAAGAAGAGGAAAAAGAAGAGGAAGAAGAAGAAGAAGAAGAGGAGTAAGAAGAAGAAGAAGAAGAAGGGGAAAAAAGAAGAAGAAAAAGAAGAAGAAGAAGAAGAAGAAGAAGAAGAAGAAGAAGAAGAAGAAGAAGAAGAAGAAGAAGAAGAAGAAGAAGAAGAAGAAGAAGAAGCAGAAGAAGAAGAAGAGGAAGAAGAAGAAGAAGACAGAACACACAGAAGATAAATCTAAAGCGAATCACACACAAAACTTATTATTTACTCTACTCCAGATTGTCAGTGTATTCATCTGATACAATAATATGTATCCCAATGTGCTTATGATTCTATGATTTACAACTGCATAAGTGCTACTGTTTTATTAGGGCGGCAAAGTTCTTAGATTTTTGTGGGGCCTATAATTTGTGTAATACCCCCCCCCCCCCGCCCCCTAAAGGATATATATAGTCATCATCATTATTTTCAATGTCCACTTCTGGCGTAAAGTGTGCGGGAAGGAACTGTTTGCAATGTATTGCTTGCTGGGCAGCAATGGCTATTGTCATTCCGTGTTGATGTAGGTGCTATTTAATATTATCAGTCCATGCTCCATGCGGTAGTTCATCTGGCTGCATTCTTAGATTATGCAGTAATTGCCACTAATCAATTACTCTAAACCACAAGCATGAAGATTGTTTAGGAAATAATTTCACGTGTGAAGCGATGCATATTGATTATTTTGATAGCCTATCCCGCATAAAATGAAATCTTTTGTTTGGGTAACTCATCGGAGGCTAATGTATGAGACTGATAAACTGAGAGTGAAACGCATTTGAACTGAGTTGAAGTTATATGAATGAGATTACATGAAGAATCCTATTCCTTATAAAAAAAAGGTATGCCTTGCATGAATTATTTTAAAAATATGTATAGTTTGATGTTTTGAAAAATTTTCATCATTTTATTAAATGTAAACATGTTTACCGTATGTGTTAAATCTTATTATTTCCATATACCATAAGCGAGGTACACAAAAGCCCAGCTTCTGAGTTGAATGCATGGCCTGACACTGTGAGCTGCGGATTCAATTTGGTATGTTTTTTCGACTGTGACCAACGTGGTGTGAATTGTAGATTCAGAAAATGGCGCGATGCCTGTTGTCGTAATGTCGGTGGTGCCCTTATGTGATTAAAATTGATCGCGTGTGCAACTGCTGATCTGTTGGTGACTTATGCGACCATCAATGATGAACTGCATTTCTAATGTCGGACTGTTTGTGTTAGCACTTCAGATGGCTACCGTATGTTTTTAATGTCTGTGTATGCTAGATATGCTGAGACAAGAGTCTGTCAATCTTTTCACAAGGGACTGTGATAAAAAATTTGCGTGGTTTTCGTTGGCACAGTAGTGGAGCAACTAT